AAACAAACAAAAAGCCTGAGGGACTATTTAACAAAAGTTGTATCAGCAGACAAGAATATTTAATGTTCTCAGTCCAAGATGTTTTGAGGTTTTGATTTATTTGTAGCTCCATTTAACACTTGGTGAAATTACTTCTTGTATGGTGTCATTAACCAGCACATTGTGAAACGCTGTTGCCCTTGCAAAGGATTGCTTTTTCATGAGACCAGTCTGTCCCTCCTGCCTGCGTCACACCTGCTCTCACCCCAGATCGGCTACTGTGATGTTCCAGGGGGTCGCACAATCCCGAGCGGGGCCAGCATCAGAGAGGCCGTGCATTGCTGTGTTTGCTGTTTGGAACCGAAATACTTTGGGTTCACCCATATATTCTGACAGCAGTGATCTATATTTCTAAGGGGTGAGGGTTCCTAAAGATTTATCCTTGGAATAAGTTTGCTTAGAAACTTTCTTGACTTCATGTCAACCAGGTGACTTTCTAGTCTGTTCTCTGAGCTATATTTTTTTCTGTGTCTTTCTTTTGGTGCCAATCCTGTGGTTTGCTATCAGGCCCTTGGGGCACTAGGCCTGAGGTTTTTTGTTTTGTTTTGTGGCTAAAGGCTAGTGAGCCACAGTGACTTTTATTTAAAATATATTTTAATTTAATTTTTCGGTTGGTCATGGGGCCTGAACTCTGGGCCTGGACGCTGTCCCTCAGCTCTTCAGCTCAAGGTGAGTGTTCTACCAGTTGAGCCATAGTGCCACTTCCAGCTTTTTCTTCTAATGTGGTGCTAAGGAATTGAACCTAGGGCCTCATGCATGCAAGGCAAGTACTCTACCACTGAGCCACCTTCCCATCCCCTTAAAATATATTTTTTAAATTATCTTTTTGGGCTGGGAAGGTGGCTTAATGGTAAAGTGCTTGCCTTGCATGCATGAAGGCCTGGGTTCAATTCCTCAGCACTACACAAACAGAAAAAGCTGGAAGTGGTGCTGTGGCTCAAGTGGTAGAGCAATAGCCTTGAGGACAAAGAAGCTTAGGGACAGAGTCCAGTCCCTGAATTCAAGCCCCTGGACTTGCAAAAAAAAAATTATGTTTTCAAGTTGTTGTACAAAGGAATTTCCATTTCGCCAAGCAGTTTATGAACACATCTTGATCAGTGCCACCCGTTTAATCATTCTACCCCATCCTTCCCAACCCCTCCCCTTCCCTCAACTGTCTTAATTTTGTAGGATATTCATTGAAGTTCATGACTGCTTTCTCCCTGAACCCTTCTATTCATCTGTCTACCCCCCTCTACCACTTCAAGCTTTTTTTTTTTCTTTAGTGGTTAATGAGAGATAAAAAGCTCATAGACTTTCCTACCCTGACAACTGGCTTTGAACTTTGATCCTTTGATTTCAGCCTCTTGAGGAGCTAGGGTTACAGGCGTGAGCCACCAGTGAGTGCCAGGCTTGAGGCCCTGTATGTTAACATCATCTATGTATTTGTATTTCTCTCACCCTGTTTTTTTGAGCTCTTCATTTGCAGGCCCACTGTGGTAGGCATGGGGGTTTCCGTGTGCAAGCCAGCCAGAGGATAAAAGAATGAGGGTCTGTACTGTAAAGGTAACTTTGTAGATCAGGAGCTAACATTTTGAACAAAAATCTTGATTCTTAGTTAATAGAGCAAATTGAAGGTGTGGAAAGTGAAGGAGAGAGGAAACAAGTGTGGCTTGGAAGTGTTGAGAATGGAAAATAGCCTATGGAGGACAGAAGGGGAAGAAGGGATTAAAGGCAGACAA